TATCCCGTAGGTGGGAAGACGAAAGCAACCAAAAAAAGAGGGTATCGAATAAATCATTCATTCTGCCCAAGCAGAATTTCAATTTAGTTCCAGCAGAGCCAATCAAGAGCGCCGATTGATTCCCATTTTGCTTCGGGTTTCCAAGACTGGGGTTGCCGGCGGAGGAAAGGGTGGGAAGAGGGGGGGGGATAATAGGTACGGAGTAGGTACTGTATTGAAAATATACCTGGATATCGCAAAACTTCCAGGTGCCAAGGTACCTAAGGGAGGACGGCTATACTGCAGATATGCACGTGGCGAGAACTTGCTTCGGCGGTCGGCCTTTGTCAGTTTTTTTGGTGACCAGACGGTTCGCTGACTCGGCGAGGAGCGGTGACGGCAAGGAAGCGGGAGGCGACCGACGGCGGCGGGGTGGGGGGGAGAGGGAAGAACTGGTGAGGTGGGATACCTGTGACCTGCCCGAAGTATTGGTGGTGTACGGAGTAATGTACCAGGAACTTCCGTCACAACCGTGTTTTCCGTCACCTCTCCTCTGTGCGAGTGAGTCTATTGCGACAACTCTATCATGATGATGCCAAACTCTGTCACTTTCTCTCCTTCTCTGAAATGCGGTCAGCACTCACATAATCTCATTGCCATCGTAAGATATCGCCGTTGAATTCCACCCAAGATCGCTCCCTGTTCGAGATCTCCAGCGGGGTGGGGCCGTGTCGTCTTCGAAATTTGTCTCGTCGACCAATCTAGATTCAGCGTTTCCCGTCAGGACCAGGAACTCAGGAAATCAAATCATCCTCTTTTCGGTCTTGTCCCCCCCCCCACCCCCGGTCTCTTTGCGTAACTTTTCTTCCTCCTTCTGCGACCAAATCCAGGTCTGTCGTTACATTTCGCACCTCTTTCGATATCCGCTCAATTCCAACTTCAACCTGCGGACCCCCCGTATTCACTGCCGTTTTTCTCTGGACTCTCGCAGCGCGTAGACGATCCCGCGATCTCCACTCCGTCATTGAGAGACAATAACCCTCCCCGGCTCGGGTTGGGTTTCTTGGAGACTTGAGGCGAAGGAAACCTTGCCTCGGCCGCCCGTCGCTCTAGTCTGTCTACGGGTATCCCCTCTGTACGGATACACATCTTAAATACAACCGCCAACCCGCCCTCTCGGGCGAGGGCGCCCACAAGCATCACGGGTTCCCCAAGTTGCCACCACCCGACACTCAGTATACGAAGAGTCTCAACCGGTTCGGCGGAGTTGAAACAGAGCTTCAAGACGATCTGAAGGCTCTTGTGGTCCCTGCCGACATGATTGCGTATCGGCCTCAAATCCTGTTTTGCTGAACTCGTTGTTGGCCCTTGTTTCTACATCTTTGCATTGCTTTCTTTGCATTGTTTGATTGCAGCATTTTGTTTAGAAGAGACCATCATCTCTCGTCGCAAGGCGTCATAATCAGCAGTTCCACTGTTTCCAACCGCCAAGCCAGCCCTCTCTTACAAGTAATCCGATACTTGATCCACTCAACGGCGAAAAGGACGGCGACGACAACGACGGCCATGGTATCTACTATCGACGAAAAGGCGGTCCTGCCGGGTCGACGCCCCTCGCCCGCGCAGGACGCCACACAGAACGACAGCACCGGCACCGGCACCGGCTCCGGCAACCGCACCTCGCGCAGACCCGGCGGCTGGTGGAAAGTGCACCTTTTCCGCGGTATGGTCAACGACCTCCGTCGTCGGGCGCCCTTTTACGTCAGTGACTGGACCGATGCCTGGGACTATCGCGTGGTGCCGGCCACGGTCTACATGTATTTTGCAAAGTATGTCCGTCTCGTTGTCATCCTCTGTGGTTCTGATCCTTCCATTCCTATCGGAAAGTATGATGTTTAGCCGGCCGTATGCCAGGATGAAGGTTGGACCTGTGTGCCTAATCCTCTGTTGTAATGTTGCTTTCGATGCCTATTGCTATCAGTTATCTCGATACTCGGCTTGTTGACACTCGGCTTGTTGACACTCGGCTTACCGGCTTTGCAGCATCTTGCCCGCGTTGGCATTCTCCCTCGACATGTTTACGAGCACGGGATCGACGTACGGAGTCAACGAGGTCCTCCTAGCTTCCGTTCTCGGGGCTGTGGTCTTCTCTCTACTGGCCTGCCAGCCTCTGGTCATTGTCGGCGTCACAGGCCCCATCACCGTCTTCAACTACACCGTATACGATATCATGGAGCCAACCGGCACAAACTACCTAGCATTCATGTGCTGGATCGGCCTGTAAGTCTCGCCCAAACCCTTTCCTCCCTTCCCTTCCGCCTTCACCTCATCACGCACTGACGAAACATTCAACGGGGGGCCAGGTGGTCACTAGTCTTCCACTGGATCCTCGCCGTCACAAACTCGTGCAACTGGCTCCGCTACGTCACGCGCTTCCCCTGCGACATCTTCGGCTTCTACGTGGCCTTCATCTACCTCCAAAAGGGCATCCAGGTCCTCCAGAGGCTGGGTGACGCCGAGCCCTTTTACCTCTCCATCGTCGCCGCCCTGCTCGTCTTCATGGTCGCCTACGTCTGCGCCGGCGTCGGCGGGAGCAGCCTGTTCCACCACCACGTGCGCGTCTTCCTCAAGGACTACGGCACCCCGCTCACTCTCATCTTCTTTACGGGATTCGTGCACATTGGCAGGATGGAACCCGTCGATTTGGAGGTGCTGCCTACTGGTATCGCCTTCATGCCCACGGCGGACAGGAGTTGGCTTGTGGACTTTTGGAACATTCCTGTCGGGGATGTCTTCCTGGCTATCCCCTTTGCTATCCTCTTGACCATTTTGTTCTGGTTCGATCACAACGGTAAGGAACATGCGCTCGACTCTCCCTATCCAAGGCTTCGCAAAACTAATACGAGCTTGCAGTGTCTTCACTCATCGCACAGGGAACCGAGTTCCCGCTCAAGAAGCCGGCCGGATTCCACTGGGACCTCTTCTTGCTCGGCCTCACAACGGGCGTGGCGGGCATCCTCGGCCTGCCGTTCCCCAACGGCCTCATCCCGCAAGCCCCGTTCCACACCGACTCCCTGACAGTCAGCAAATCAGAACCCGAGACGGACGAAAAGGGCGAGTTCAAGGGCAGCTACGTGACAAAGGCCTCGCACGTGGTGGAACAGCGCGTGTCCAACCTGGCCCAGGGCCTCCTGACCCTCGGCACGATGACGGGCCCCCTGCTGGTCGTCCTCCACCTCATCCCGCACGGCGTGCTCGCCGGCCTCTTCTTCGTCATGGGCGTGCAGGCCCTCGAAGGGAACGGCATCACCCTCAAGATCCTCTTCCTGCTGCGCGACAAGAACCTGACGCCGCCGGGTCACCCGCTCAAGCAGATCCGCCGGCGTCGCGCCATCTGGGAATTTGTGGCCATCGAGCTCGTCGGGTTCGGCGCCACGTTCGCCATCACGCAGACCGTCGCCGCGGTGGGATTCCCCGTTTTCATTATGCTGCTGATTCCCATCCGCGCCTGGCTTCTGCCGCGCTGGTTCTCTCCCGAGGAGCTGAGCGCGCTCGACGAGGCTACGGCGTCGCCTTTCACCATGGAAGGTATCGGTGGGGTCCACGGGGGCGGGGACTCGGGTGATGATTCGGACGGGACGCGGGTGTCTGATTATGATAATGTTGGGGAGGAGGGACATGGTAGTAGGCAGGCACCCGGGAACGGCGATGGCATCTTTGCGTCGGCGGAGGAACCGGGGAGAAGTCGGGAGGACGTGGCGGAGGCGGGACAGTCTCGGAGTGCGCAGGGTGCGGGAACGACGACGAGGAGAGGAGGGCACGCTGCGACGGCTGACTGAGGTCAGCGTTGAAGTGACCCGAGATCGGAGAGTATTAGAGAAATACCGTAATGCTTGACCAGTTGATACCCAAGAACATTTACCACTGTTGAAAGATTGAGGGCAGAAAAGGGGATTTGAAGGTGGCCTAGGTCGTGCAAACCGTCCTTCCACCTACCTGCAACCACCAGAGAACATACGTACGAAATTCAACATAGATTACTGCACTTTGTACTGGCCGAAAAGCTGCTTTGCTGGCGTGTATACCAACACCTAACAATGTGTGCTTAGTTGGCGTTGATCAGTATACCAATGCACCTTACTCCGTGTCCAGTTCTACTCAGCTCCAGTGACAGTGAATCTCCCGGCAACGTGTCAAAGAAGGAAGAACACAGGGTCTTCTCACATAACTACAACTGTAGACCCTGATCAAGATAATAATTGAACAGCTTTTTACGCGTCAGTAATGGGATTGACACATTGATTCTGGGCAGTAGGAGCGGTCAGCGTCCGCTCGGCCCAGCACGCCCCGCAAGCCCGTTTAGGCAATCGGGGTCTCTGTGATTGGCTTCCAGTTTCCCTGATACGAAAGCCGCTGGTGTTTGGCATGAGCTCGCTTAGCAAGTCGGTATCGGTTCTGCTGAGGGAGGGAGGAGCCTACGAACAGGCGTACCTTTTAGAACCATTGGCTTCTGAAGAATCTTGACTGTAGTCTGTGTGGTTGACGAGAAGAAGGGACTACCGTGTAATTGACAGGAACGAGGACGGGACGTTGGAATTGAGGATGCGGCGGTGGTCAGTGCGCCTCACACCATACTTCTCTTCTACAACCCCACGATCCCTCACTCCTCGTCCTCTTTACCGTCTCTCCCACATCATCTCTTTCGCCTGGGGTCGCCTTCAGCACTGACGTTACGTTACTATATCGTCTCGGATGAGGTCGACACGGTGCAAAACTCACATCCCGGAGAGAAACCATCAACCTTCGAGGGTCTCTTCCTAGCGGCACATGGGAAACCAGATTCGTGCCATGGTCGGTAGCTCACTGACCCTTCCCCGCCACGGGAAGCTTGCAATATCGGACAGCTTCCGCCATTGGCTCGCCTTGGACTCGAAGCCTTCGACGGCATGAACCCGGGGGGTCACGCCGACCCTCCCGTCAGGTCCTCTCGGCAACGCCCTCCGTGATAGGCCGTCTCCTGCATGGCAACTGGTAAGGTGTGAGGAGCTTCCGTCGCTCAACCACGAGACCCAATCATCGCATCTCCCCAAGGTCAACAAAAGGGCCCAATACCGAATACGCAGTCAACTTGCTTCAGTCCTAGCGTTGAACCCCGCATCGTACCGAACAACGAGGTACCTCAGAGTACCGAGAGCCTTGGTGTGGTTGGGCACTCGCGGAGCCCTACGTCCTCCACCTATCATGCTGCGGCGGCCGGGTCTCTGTCGTCGGCCGTCTGCCTCCGGACACACGCATCGAGCCAAGCGTCCTCATACGACAAACGAGGACCAGCTGTCGCCCGATCTGACGCCTCGGGAACTAATCGCCTTGGCCCAGCCTGGATGAAGACACGCCCCCCCTCCCCGCCTCAACTACGTTGAAGCTGTCGGCCTGGACAATCGCGGCCTCTTGCATGTCTTGCGCATCTCTACCTCCGTATTACTTCGGCAAAGGTTGACCTTAACTTGGCCTCATGTAGCCGATTATACCCACGCGCAAGTAACCATCTACTGCAGTCCCTCCGTCGATCTGACAATCCTCACGACATACAGCCCGCCAGTTCTCTTCATAAGTACGGAAAATCCGGGGGTCACAACGTACCGTACCATCCAGACCCCATCCCCACGGGGTAGCACAAGGTTAATACTCTGTCCCTCGGGTAGCTGGAGCTTGACTTTGATACCACGTTCCAGTAATTTATCCAGCTCTCGGGGAGGTTGGGGCATTGGCCGGCTGCCTGCCTGCCGTTCAATCGGGCTATGCCTGTGTCATCTGTCACCGAGAGGATTTGATAACCCGCAGCGGGCGGTTCTGTCAAAGGCTCGAAGCAGTTGCCACATATAGGGTGCGGAACCAGGTACAACTTTGCCAGCCAACAGCCGAGACAACAGATCCGGGAAAGGCCTGCCTTTTTCGTTCCACGCTTTCTTTTTCTCCTTTTCGCCCTCACAAATCCTGTTTTGGTCCCGGATCATGTATCCCCCTGCTGTCAGATGAGCTACCGTAGCAAGTAGCTGCCGCAGAATGTCTCTTTTCCTCGCCGCCTCCATCATACGGGGTAGAGTCCTAAAGGCCTGACGTTAAAGACATCCTTGAAATGGCCTGTCGCCTGCTGCCCAACGTCGAAACCACATGTCTCTCTTGTACTCCACAGAGGTTTCGCCTCAGCACGCAAGCGGTGCAAGGCAGTTGGACAAAGACAGAACAGGATAGGTCGGGACAGAGGGATTCACATCCTCATCGCCCCAAACCACGCGATCCAAGACTTTACCTGTGTATCGTGGCAGATCCGATGCTTACGGCACGATTCAGAGGGCCGCGGATCTTTGCCATACCGCAGCGTGGCTTGAGGTAGTACCTGGAGAGAGACAACAGCTACTGCTGCTACCTCGGATGCTTAGCGGTAAATGTATCCATCACAATGACATTCGGTCTCCTGAGAAGAGATGGTGATGGTCTGATGGCTGTACTCTTGGATCACAGACAGCCACGGCAGGGGTTGGGAAGGGGGAGGCGTGCACACCAAACAAGGTGACCAGGAACCAAGAACAAAACAAGACGGAGTATGTAAGTTGCCGGTACTTCTCCATTTTGCCATGGTGGTACGTCTCTCGATTTTGAGACAGAGGAAAGATGAATGACACCGGTACCGTCCCTCGCCACTGGTATCCCCGCCATTCCGGGAGGAAGGCATGGCTTCACGGGAAAGGGGGGAGGGGGCGTGTAAGCGTTCAGAAAGGACCACGCTCGTTGGCATCGGTTCCTTTGAGCTTAAGCTTAATCGAGTTGACTCCGACGAAGCCGATCTCGACCGTGAGCAGTGAATGGAGGGGGCTGCGTGGGGGGTAACCTAACTGCATGGAGGACTCATTCAGGGTATGCAAAGTTGGGTGAACTTGGAGAGAAAGCTTACCGGCATTGAGTCTTTGGTATGGCTTCAATCATCATCCTTTTGCCTGTTCCGCCAGAAGGGAGTTTGGGCATACTACGTAGCATTATCTACTACCTCCCGGCCTTACGAGGTTGTATCCTCGATCTTGAGGGTCTCATCGCTCTGTTCAAAGGACCCCGAGTAGCCTTGGATGGCCTCCGTCTGGTCGGGTTAAGTTCGTAGGTAAGGTAAGCTGCAGTAGGCCCGGCGGCGGTACATGAGGGGGCAGGGGGGGGGGGGGTCTTACAGCTGCCAGAAAGATATACCCTCTGCCTACTTACTTAGTATTGACAAGAGCAAGAGTAAGAAGAGCCTTCCATTGAGCTGCAAGACCAGAGCAAGAGGCAAAGAAAAGAGTAGGATCGTGGGGGAGGAACCGGCGAGCTCGTCCGTCTTGCCAGCTCCCGTGATTCCCCCGCCCCCCCCCTTTCCCGGACCAGCACCGCCGAGAATGAAGCCGGCGGAGGAAGCGGACGAGCGAGCGGGGACCAACCAGAGCACAGCATTTGGAAGCCTCCGGCCGGATCGCAACTAGTTTCCGGTGATGAGGAACCGGGGGGGCAGAATAGTGGAGGGAAACCACTCGTGACCAACAACAATGCAAACTACACTGCACTTGTTGTTAAGCAGGTCGAGGAATCATTCGGTTATGGAGGTCTCCTTCCTCGGACTCACTCACAGAGTCAGATCACTCGATGACCTGGCATACCGTTTATTTCGAGAGCTACTCTCTAGTCCTCGCTGCTAAGTCGTGTTTTGGGAAGGGCTTTTAGGTAAGGTAGTTAATGTTATGGATCGATCTCGGTTCAGTTTTCAAGGGCGAATGAAGCGAGACGAGACGAGACGAGACGTCCAGGGTTACATGAGGTAAGGTCTATGGTAACCCATCACAAACACAATTGTTGGAAAGAAAACCTCGGCAAGGATGGGATGGAAGGGAGTGGGCGACCTTCTCTCTCTCGCTAACCGAAGCTATACTTGCAGCCCATCATTTCTTTCTTCCGTCTCGGGATATTTCCTTTTTTCTTTCCCTTCCTCTTCTTGAAACCACCCCCCCCCCCCTCCTCCTCCCACCTGTTCCGTTTCTCAACGTAGTCCAGCCCCTCGTGAGATCTCGAATCCTGATGCAAGGTTGTGATGGCGGCTGAATCCGCGCCGACGGGTGTCGCCTTGGACTGGGTAGCTTGGCTTTTTCGGCAGGTTCAGCACACATCTTTTTTGAGGCACGTCATGTCTTTGACGAATCAAGGTGGTATTTGCATATGCTAAGAAACTTCCCTGTTCTGCTACAACACTCAAGAAAAGCGGAAACCAAAAAACCACATTGAGATACGTTTTGACGTTTGGAGAAGGGGGTATTTTGATAGAGTACAAACTTCAAGAACAGAAACACACTGACGTCCAGTCCTGGGAAGCACTCAAGAGGAAAGGAAGAGATAGGGAGCAGTTTGCAGTAAAAGACAGAAAGGTCCCTTTTTGTATGTCATTTGGGGATATATGGAGTTGCCAAAAAAGTAATATGTGCATAGAGCAGAAGAGAAAAAAAAAACAAAAACAAGAAAGACAGAAAATTGTGAGCTTTCGTCTCATCATACAAGAAACCCAAGAAGCGAAAAAACCAAAAAAAAACCAAAAAAAGGCCAGACCGAAATCAACAAACGCAAGAGAGAGTCATGTCGTTGGAGCAGCGCGCTCGCACACTCCTTATTCTAAGAACAGGTAAAAAATATCAGATTTTCCGACCCAAAAAACCAAAGCAGAATGTTTCCGGATTTCCCCCTCCCTTTGTCTCTTCCTCCCTTTCCTTTGCCTTGGGGTATCTTTGGGGGTTTGGCCAACTTTCCAAGTATGGTCCACATGAGATTTGTGTTTTTTCTTCTTTTTTTGGGTTCTCTTTTACTTCTCTTTATGCTGTGCTTCCGTATGCCTGAGGTCCGGGTGCGGGTCCAGGTCCGGCCGGTGCTCCGCTCGAGAAGCTTCTCTTCCTCTTCAGCGCGCCGAACTCGTGTCCGTACTCATCTCCTCCGCGCTGTTGTTCCTGGTGATGTTGCTGCTGCTGCTGCTGCTGAGCGTACTCGCCGCTGTGCGCGCCGTGAGGGGTGTGCTGAGGCGGCATCGGGCCGCCGCCGCCAAAGGTGTCGCGCATGGGCGTCCTGGAGCTGGAGGTGTTCATGCTGGCGTGGAAGGCCTGCGAGAAGTCGTTGGGCGCGGCGATGGGCGCGCTCATCTGAGGCATCGAGTAGTCCTGGACACCGCCGGGTCGGGCGCCGGGCGTGCGGGGCAGGGAGAAGTCGACGGGCGCGGTGAGGGGGGCTGAGGGCAGACTGGAGGTGTAGGCGAACTGGGCCGAGGTCGCGCGAGGGGCCGGGGAGTGGCCTGGGGGCGGAACGGATCCGACAGAGCGGTACTGGTTGCGGAGGTCGAGGCCGAGGGTGCCTGATGAGGCGCGGGCGCGCAGGCGGTTTGGCGGGCCGCCGGGGAAGCTCGAGTAGTTCATGCCGGGAGGTGAGTTGTTGCCTACGTTTGTGGTTAGTGACACTAGTTTTTTATTATGAGATGATGGTTGAAAGCATACTGGAGTAAGAGCTTGACTCGTAAGGGAGGCCGCTGCTTGAGGGGCCGCTCATCTGCTCTGGCTGGTAGACCGACTGCTGTCTTCCACTCAGCTGAGGGCTTCCGCCGGCTCCGTGGTGGTATGTGCTGTAGTCGATCGCGTCGCCCTTCCAGGACATGCTGGAGCGGAGAGGAGAGTTGAGGTCCGACCTTGACCGGTTCATGGTCTCGCGGAGCTGGAGAGGCTGGAGAGGTCGGCTCGGCTGGCCGCGGTGCATGGACATGGAGTTCTCGAGGGCGCCCTGTCGCGCAAAGGGGTTTGAGGTTCGGGGGCCGGGGCCCATGGGCGATAGGTGGCTGCCGTATCCGTAGCGGTGGTCGCCAGTCGAATTGGGTGTCATTGGAGACAGGATATCCGGGCTGCTCATGGTTCCCGGGGGAGTGAATCCGATGCTTCCAAATCCAGGGCTGAGTCCCGTAGACGACATGTGCTCCTCGCCACCCTCTGCCCTGCGGACGTCGACCATCAAAGGACGAATCATGTGGTCGGCGTATGACTGTGTACCAAAGTTCATGGGGGATGACATGGGAGTGTTGAGACCGTGGACCGCGCCGTAGGGGGAGTGAAGAGCCTGAACGTTGTCAAAGTCGTCGGGAACCGCACGCATCTTGATCATGCGGTCACGGTCATCGGCTGTGAGACGCTTAATCTTCGCACGGCTATTGGATGAACAGGATTAGTTCCACAGTCTCTTTGAGATTGTAAGGTTGCGAGCAGACTCACCGGTTCTGGAACCAGACTTGTACTTGGCGAGGGCTCAGGCCGGGGATCTCCCTTGACAGGCGCTCTCTGTGGGCGGCA